ATTTGTATTTCTTCTGAGAAATTCATTTCAGTTGCCCATTTTTTGATTGTCTTTTATTTTGGGGAGTCTAGCTTTGTTTTTTGCCTTCTTTATTCTAGATATTAGTCCTTTGAGGAATAGTTAATAATTTTTTTTTTCTTTTTTGGCCATTCTGTAGGTAGTGACTTTACTTTGCTCACTTCTTGGCTGGGAAGAAGCTTTTTAATTTGATGATGATCCTATTTGTTGATACTTGTTGTTCTTCTGCAATTGTGGTTCTCTTCAGAATGTCCTTGCTTATGCCCATGTTTTAAAGGGTTTTAATTATTTTATCTTCCAGAAGACGAACTGCTTCTGTTTTAACATTTAGATCTTTGATTCATTAAGTTCCTCTCCTCTTCTGTTTCTCTAGGCTTCTTTAATGTTGAGATTCCTAATTTGATTCTATGACATTTGTAGCTTTTCGCTTGTGTATTCCTTTCATCATTTTGTTCTGTTTGTGGGATAGTTTAATGACTTGATTTCCTGTGCTTCTTATAGAAAGTTTTGTTAGGCTATCAATTTTTTTTTATGTTCAAGATTCCTTTGTTGGTAGTTGATTGATAGTTTTCACACTATTCTGTTCATATCATTTTGTTCTGTTTGTGGGATAGTTTAATGACTTGATTTCCTGTGCTTCTTATAGAAAATTTTGTTAGGCTATCAATTTTTTTTTTATGTTCAAGATTCCTTTGTTGGTAGTTGATTGATAGTTTTCACACTATTCTGTTCTTCCTTTATAGAAATTATTTCTTCTTTGTCTGAGAATATACTTTTTTTTTAGTGCGTATTGATTCTATAGACTAATGAGTTTTGTTCTGGCATTTTCACACATGCATGTAACATATCTTGATCATATCCACCCCCTATTATACATTGTAAACTTTCATTTTATTTTCTGCATTATATCTGTTTCCTTGAAATTTTCTTGAAAGCTTTATTATTTTGCTCTCTATGTGGAGATTTCTTCAAGTGGTGGTCTTTGGCTTTCTGTTTAGAGACTGAGACTCTCAAAAGCTGATTTTAAGTGTGAGTGTGGATAGAGATCATCCCTGCTAAGTTTTACTTTTCGGTAAAATTGTTACAACTCTTAGAAGATGCCCCAAACATCAGTAAATAGAATTCTTTTTCCCCGAGCACTCAATTTTTATCTGTAAAAAGTGAAGGGGACACATACTTAGTAATTTGGACTCAAGAACTCTAGCAATCTCAGACCTGGCCTGTGTACCTTCTGTACTGCTGGGCAATTTTGGATGAACAGGCTCAAGTGTTTCATGTACAATTCTTTTGAACTGATTGTAGAGTAAGCTGCCATGGAAATGCAGGAAGAACTTTAGATTCTTCTTCAACAATAATACCTCTAAAATAATGGGTTTAATGTACCAATACTTTCCAAATATGTAATAATACAGATATTCAATAAAAATAATTTATGAATACCATTTAAATGTTCTCATGGTCCACCAAAGAATCTAGTGACTATTTATGATTGAGTTTAATTCTACATTTGTTCTTTCTAGGTCAGATCCTAAGCCAAATTACTCAGATTCTCTGTCTCAATTTTTATTTTATAATTACAGTAGCAATAGTGTCTATCTGTTAAATTATAAGGAATAAATAAGTTTATTATATACATATGTACATCATCATCATACATTTAAGTTCCTAAAACAATATTTATGTTCATTACATGTTAAGTGTATTCATTATTATCATGCATGACCTTACAAAGTCTATAGCATCTCTCCACTTATTTTTGTCATCTTTACTGTCTTTGGCAATGTTTTGTAGTTTTCACTGTAGTGTTTCTACAAGTCCCCTTAATTTAAAAAGTTTCCACATGTTGAGGTGGCTCTACATTTAGATTTCAGTTAATATTTATAACCTCTTTTTGGTGTTTCCTATTTGAGTGAAAAATTCTTTGGGTAGTGTGCATTGACACTCAAACATTTTGGAGATGGTTTAATTCTATTTGCCTTCCTCTATATTTTCCCAGAGATTGTAGTTGCTCTGGGTTCCCCCAGGCCACTAGAAAGGGAGTTTTTTCCTCCTCATATTTCTTATCTAATTTTAGAGAAAACATCAGATCTTTATTATATTCTTATAGCATATAGGAGCAACATTTTCAAGCCATATGCAGGGTAAAATATTAAAACTCAGAAATTGTCAAGGATGCTTTGTTGAATTTTATATCAGATGAGGGAAGTAAGGCTTGGAGATCTTGGATTGCTGCTATTAATACAACTAGTTACTGGCAGAATTGAAATTCAGCTTCACCCTAGCAATATTTTTTTATATATTAATTTTTGAGAACTGATTACTTTTGATTTTCATAAATCAGAAATATCATGCTATCCTGACTTTCATGGTATTTATCATATCAATGTGTGACATTCACTTGCTTAGTGGTTTATAGAACTACTTGAAAACATTCTTCTCAGAGTAAATGAATAGAAGAACATCCTCAGAATGGGAAGAGGAAATTATTTTTGATAGCTTTGCTGATGCCTTGCTAAATATGTCCAATTTCTCGGCAGGTTCATTTACTAGGTCATACCAAACAGATGAATCCAGCAAATCATTCCCAGGTAACATTTGTCTTACTTGGACTCTCTCAAATATGGGGGCTTCGTTTCCTCTTCTTCATTGTCTTCTCAGCTGTGTATCTCATGACAGTAACTGGAAACCTCCTTATTGTGGTCATAGTGACCACTGATACACGTTTGCATATAACCATGTATTTCCTATTAGGCAATCTTTCTTTCTTGGACTTTTCCTACTCTTCCATCACTGCACCTAGGATGCTGGTTGACTTGCTCTCAGGCAACCCCACCATTTCGTTTGGTGCCTGCTTGACCCAGCTCTTCTTCTTCCACTTCATTGGAGGCATCAAGATCTTCCTGCTGACCGTCATGGCCTATGATCGTTATGTTGCCATTTCCCAGCCCCTGCGCTACACACTCATAATGAATCAGAAAGTCTGTGGGCTCTTTATGGCAGCATCCTGGGTAGGAGGCTTCATCCACTCCATTGTACAGGTTGCCTTGACTATCCAGCTGCCATTCTGTGGGCCTGACAAGCTGGACAACTTTTACTGTGATGTGCCTCAGCTGATCAAATTGGCATGCACTGATACCTTTGTCATAGAGCTTCTGATGGTGTCGAACAATGGCCTGGTCACCCTGATGTGTTTTCTAGTGTTGCTGGGATCCTATACTGCACTTTTAGTGATGCTTCGAAGTCATTCACAAGAAGCTCGCAGCAAGGCCCTATCCACTTGTGTCTCTCACATTGCTGTGGTGACCTTAATCTTTGTGCCTTGCATCTATATCTATGCGAGGCCTTTTCGGACGTTCCCCATGGACAAGGCAGTCTCTGTGCTATACACAATGGTCACTCCGATGCTGAATCCTGCCATTTATACTCTGAGAAACAAAGAAGTGATCATGGCTATGAAGAAACTGTGGAGGAGGCAGAAGGATTTTACTGGTCCCCCAAAGCATTGATGAGAATCTGAGAATCTAAGAAGTGATTTAGTATACCAGTCTGCTGGAGGAGACCTGTTCATAGGTAAAACTCCTTGTCTGGTGCTTCTTTATTGTTTTGAGCCATAGTCAATTTCTGGTGACCTGAGCTTTTAGCTGATCTAGAACATGGGAGGAGTATCCTAGAATTACTCCCCAGTATTACCTAGAGAAAAAGCATCAAGTGCATTTCCTCAGAGAGAATTTTCCTAGATCAGCATGACTTGCTCTTGCTAAGAAAGTTCCAGGAACAGTAAGCACAGAGGTGGTAAAGTTAACATCTTTTTTCTGATGTCAATTCTTGGACACAGAATACATTTATAGAGGTAAACTTGGAGATGGTTAATTAGGGGCTTAAAATAAATGCAGGGCCCTGAGCCCTATTTTAGATGAGCTGGATATTTGTCAATGAAAAAGAAAATTACTCTGAGAAAATATCTTTCTAATAGTTTCTTTTTTTTTGAAACAGGGTCTCACTATGTAGTTGAGACTGACCTGGAACTCACTATGTAGCTCAGGCTGGTCTCAAACTCACAGCAATCCTTCTGCCTCAGCCTCCTGAGTGCTGGGATTACAGGCGTGCGCCACTACACCCGGCTACTCTGATAGTTTCTTAGAGTCGTCATTTCTGCCATGTTTATGATGGTCATTTTCATCATCATCATCATCATGACATAAATAGTATTTGGCTAGAACTTAATATATGTCAAGTACTTTAATATATGTCAAGTACTTTATATTCATTATTTATTTTAATTCAGCATTTTAATCAAGTAGTTATCTTCATTTTAAAAGATGAATAAGTTAGAGACATCTAATAACTTATTTAAGGCCACCCAGATCTATATAACTTTGAAGCTCAAGTTTCAGTTGGCACATCTAAAACATCTTGTCTCTTTGTGAATTTATATCAGTTAGACTGACATCATAGACAGGCTTGGCATTTTCATTTGGACTAGGCCAACTGTGGTTGAGAAAATGAGATTAGATATTGGAATGTAGGGAACTGAATCATGTTAGAAGCAAACACATGTGGAATTGAGGAAAAAGCGTTGGAAAATAAAGGGGGAATTTGCTTGACAGGACTAATATTTGGAAGCCTTGTATGTGTAGATGGTTTTTTCATACCTTTGTTCAAAATCTCAGTGTTTTAAATTTAGCTTCCTTTTAGGCTAGCAGAACCACAGCTGACTACTTTAATGAAATTTCATTCTCTGGTTCTTAAATACAGAAAGGTATGAGATAATTCATAGGTATCCCTAGCATTCATAAGTATCCCTAACTCAACTGAAGAGGAAGGGAAAAATGGTTGTGGTCCTTTCTCATAGCATCTCTCTATTCCTCCCCAGCATTTTAATTCTTCCTCCAGCCAGATTTCTATACATATTCTATAATCAAGTTACTCAAACTTCTCTCACATGTGTCCTTGGATGGACCTGCACCTTTTTATACCACATTCATACATACAAGTTTATTTTAAGACAGATCAAGCAAGAATCAAACTTCTCTCACATGTGTCCTTGGACCTGCACCTTTTTATACCACATTCATACATACAAGTTTATTTTAAGACAGATCAAGCAAGATTTTGGTTACTTAACTTATTTAATCAGTGATAACCTTTATGGATGTGGGATAGACAGAACATGATATCCAGTAAATGAGTCTATAATCTTAGAGTTATTCCATTACATAGGATTTACATTTTAGCAAGTAATTTAGCATAAACAAAGTTGCTTCCTACAATAGCTAATTATGAAGAAATATTTAGGATACAGGGCCTAGGACATGGCTCAAACTACAAAGAGAAAAGACATGGGGTTAGAGAAAAAGTAGTTTAGAATATTGAACGAGAAGTCACGACAATATTAGAGAGAGTATACTTTAGTGGAAAAAAATTTAGAGTCACACGACGAAAGTCAGAGTTCTCTTTGTATAGAATTTAGTTTAGCTTCAAGAGTTGAGTTTTTTTCCATTTACCCATGAACTTGTAGTAGGACCATATATTTATATAAATCAATTTATGTAGATTTTAATAACATGTGATTTTCTTTACCAGGATCACTTTGCTAGATAGTAGGGAAATATAGCTAATTTTAGACAAATCTAGTATACTCACTTCTGTGAATAAAATCAAATAGTATGTTTAAGTAAATGATCATTTTCTTTAGAAAACAACTCAGTTCTTAGGACTTTTTTCCCTTCTCCTCTGTGCTGGGATGCTTTCTGGACTCACAATTGGACATGAAAATACTTCTGACTATTAGCATTCTGTTGACCCTTGATGGTAAAGTCTCTCCGCAGA